TAAATTGATTGAGCCATTCGCACAGGGTATTAACCGTCGACCGTATAGTTCAGAAGTAAGGGTTTGAGGACCCAACCCGATTGTTCGCGGTTCGAATCCTGTCAGGGACAACAAAACATACGCACTGCTGACTAGTTCCAACAGGACGAAACAGCAGTCCAGTGCTCTTTGTCACACACATTGTCACCACATTTAAATGCACTCGATAGTGATGAGTACAGGTTATGTCTCAATCTTATCAGAATGGTATCAAGAACAGTTCAAGCATAAAAGGTTAACATCTCCTAAAAGATGGATAATGTAGGCACCCTGAAACCCGTAATGTGTCTATCAACCTTTTTAAAGTTACTTACTAGCTTGCTCTCAATAGACCATTGAATAATGTCAATATAAATCCGTTTATTCAGGCAATCATTAGATGAGGGAAGTCAGACAAATTTTTCGTGTACATTCCTTGCACTTCACCGAGACGCCCTTTAATAACCGTTCGGCCTGCTATACTCTACTGCATTTTAGGCTTTGATCGAAACCACTTTCGAGCACGAAAAACAGAGCAACGTTTGGTGTCGCAAAGCGACTCAGCTGGTGAAAGTTTTACGCGAACGTGACATCCAACGACCTGGTGAGAATCCGGAATTGCGTATAGTCACCCGATTGGAGTCTGGGTGTGCCAATCTTCGTGAGGCATTGAATCATGCCCAACTGGCACTAAAACGTCGGAAATCTTGTTTAACCCGCTGGCAATCAAATCTGGTCGAACTGGATACGATATTGGCCGAAATCAAATCCATTATGAGTTCATTCGAAATGTTCGGAATGGAAATACGAGGAGAGACACCGAGTGTTTGGTTGTCGGAACTACGCAAACGAATTCAGGATCCCACCGGGACTGTTTCTCGGGTAAGGGAATCTGGAAAACGTGCCTGTTTGTTTCTTTACCTTGTTCTGCATAGCAGAAAGAACTAGAATGCTTATCAAACAGGTCAACCGTTTGGGGTAATAAAAGAAGAATTTTTATTTTTTTTTAAATAGTCTGTTAGTTCCTTTTACAGAATAGATGATTTTATAATTCATTTTTACTAAGGGATATGTGACCAATCGTCGGGCTACCAAGGGATACAAACTGGGGAATTTGGGTGGCAATGACTGCAACACCGTTGAGTCACCAAAACCCGATAGGAACAATTGGTAACTGCTGTGTCCCAGTTAGACGGGTAAATATACACATAGTGAATTAGGCTGTACGTTTATTATAATAAGCACATATGTTACCGGTCTGTAGGCCGGTGAACAAGCAGGATTGGGAAACACGTGGGCACGTAAGCAGAGAGACCGACAAACGGCTCAAGCGTCACGTGACATCCGAACGCGGTTAAGCAGGTATTCAAACAGTCAACGAATCAATCAGCGTGGGCAGTTCAATAACTACATCTGATTGGCTGGAGCCAATCGATATTATAATAGAGTTCGTCTGTAAGTGCGTGCGTGTGTGATGTCAATCCATCGATCAATCAATCAATCAAACAATCCGGCCACAGGCACGCATGAAAAACGTACCAGTCAATTGTAGGCCACAACAGTAACCTTAACACCTGACNCCTGACGTTTCATAAGAAGCAGTGTTTAGTTTCAAAATGTGTTAGCACTCTGGACTTAAGTGAAATTGACCACGAACGGATAGTTTGACCCTGGTCGTTTGAAAATTGATACACTGGCCACATTTATCGTACTCCGTTCAAGATTTAGGCATAAATACGATTACGAATGTAAAGCCACTTGAGTTTACTAAGATACGAGCGTACTATATCATCTGGACAGCATTTGGCTGTAAATTGATCTAGTGTTTTCTTTTCGTTTTCTTACCAAAATAGTTGAATACACAGTGGCTTGATGCAAGTTAATTGGAGGACAGTAGATAGGCCATGTGGTGGCGTGTATCAGTGGGTCTTTGTGTGTTGTATGACTATCAGGACCAAAAAACGATTCGGTTACTAATTGAACGAATGTCAGTAAATCCCGCATCAAAATGAACCGTTGGCCTCTAGAACCTTTCGGGAACGGTCGGTTAGCATCTACAAACGAAAACCGCCAATACAGACCACAAAGTTTAGCAACTTCAGTTTCATTTAGATCATGTCAAATGGTTATCCTATGAAGCTGCTTTACCTGACCGTGTTCGGTGATATCCAAACGTCATAAATCTAGAAACTAGGCAAAATGAAAGAAAGTCAATTGGTGATGGTGCATGTTTAACGAGACTACTGATGCATTACTTTCTAAATAAAATCCACCTTCCTCGTGCATAAGGACTGGTTAGTTAAACTATCTAAGCTTGTTTATTTACCTCCCAAAAGTTCCCGATATGGACAGAAAGAAAGGTTGCTTTTCTTTTCATCTACTCACATATATATGCTCCTGTTGGTTCTGCTAGTGAAACGATCACAATCTTTTTTCAAGTTGATCCAACTGTAAATTTTAATTTAATAAAAACACTATTTCTCATTATTCTATCTTTTCTGTTAGGTCGATAATTATTGTTATAAATCAAAACAAGATACCCTTTGTTATCGTTTCTTCTCGAAAATTGCTATCTTCAAATGTGCACCTCGGTTCTGATGAGGGCAAGATCACAACGGTCAAAAATATTACATTATTTACTTAACTACTCGTGAGTAGTTACATTTCAATGAGCATTCTGTTCCCTCATGAAAATCCCTCAGGATCAGTGGTTGACCGAGCTGAATCCACGAAACTCTGGTCTGGGCAGTTCGCTAGAGAAGCTGACTATCTGTTGGAATCGCATTCAAGAGGGCCTGACTTCTTATGAAGAGAATTCGATTGTACGTATACCTAATCACCTGGCTACACAGATAATTGATCTCACGGAAGAGTGGGACAAGTTGAAGAAAATGCTTAACTTGAAATCATTCAAAGGTTGGTCTGTCGAAGAGCGAAATGGGAACAGGGATGTGGAAACCAAGGTGAGTGATACTTTGGTAGACAAAGAATACCTACAAAACTATTTTTAAGTGAAAGTTATAATGTGGAAAGGGATGCTCCAGAATTTTCACCGGCCCTTTCTACCTACAAATGCACATATTGTTCTGTATTGCATAAAATGAGCTGATGAACCGTTATTATACTGAAAATTTCACATTGATTTGATGGATTTTTTATCCATAGGTAGATGAGTGTTCTGTTTGAAACTGTCCATTGGTTCCTGTGATTGAGAATATGGAATCCCGGTGGACAGCAGTGTTTTCTTCACAGCTGTCTCATCCATGCGCAACTGTGACGTGGTTGGTCACCCTGAGTGTCTGACTTGAGTGTGCTGGCTCCTCTGTTTTGGTTGTGGACTTCGAAGTCACCGGCAATCGTGATTTGGATGTCATATTGTCGTATCCCAAATTAGTAGGAACGATCAGCACACAACGAATGAAGCAGTAAGTTTATTGTGAACGGCAAATATGTAGCCGGTACATAAACCGGGGAACAAGTAGGAACGATCAGTATGTAGGAAGGCAGGCAGGCAGGAAGGCGGGCCGACTCCGGCTTACACGTTTCAGTACATGCGAATGACGTCAAGCCAGCATTCAAATAGTCAGTTAATCGATCAATCAATCAATCTGGCCACAGTCATGTATGGCATACGAATCAGTCAGTTGTCGACCACAACACATATATTCCCGGAACATCTATCCAAATGTCTGAGAAAGGTTTTCCGTGCTGTTTGGTTTAAAAAAGAGACACTAAGCATATGTGAGCAGTAAAAACCGCTACTAACCACTTAATTTCTAGAAACGTAGCTTCAAACAAATGTGGTGGTTGGACGAGATCGGAAAACTGCAAAAACCATATGCATATTTCTCATCCTGGGACAGAATAAATTGAAACTATTAACATCTGAACAGTCTCATCTACTGAAAGCTCAAATCATGCCGCAGCTCACTCGCATCAGATGTCACGTGACTGGTCGGCCTCGCTATCAACCTTGCCATTATTGATAGGTCTAACAATAACTGATTTGCATTTCATTCGTTGACCCTGTAAATCGTGCTGACACAACTACGGTCAACCCGCTCCAGTTCAATGACTTGTGTTCTTCACAAACCAGGGACATACAGTTATAATACCTCATAGAATATATTTCAAATGACAATGTGTTCCAGGAATTAAAACAAACCAAAAACCCTGCTGTACTTCGCGGGTTTAACAAGTAGGATAAATTCCGTAGGGATCTGGTCCCGACAAACGCTCACATGAAAACAGTATTGATTGACTGATTTAAAATAATTCTAAAGACAAGAAAGGACAGAATCAAGACAATAGAATTTGAAGTAAGACCATTTCAAAGGTATTACTTTTGTAATAGAGTGAAAAACGGTCTAGTGCGATGGAAATGTTTGTGGTAACCAAAAACGTGCACTGGACCGTAGTTTCGTCCTGTTTCGAGACTCATCTGTAGTGCGTACTTTTTTGTGTAACCTTGTCAGGACTCGAACTGCGATCAGTCGGGTCGGGACTTCAACCCCTTAACCTTGAGCTACACGGCCGACGGTTATCACCTAGTGTGAATGGCTCAACCAATTTAGTGCCTGGTGCCTCTGAACAATCGAATGGGTTACTCCAAGCTTTATTTTCCATACTCACAGATAGTCGGATTTCGCGACGGTGCCACAGATGTTTCAAGTTGTCAAATGCCAACCAAATGGACACTTCATTCGTAGTGCGTCCATCAGGTGAGATATAGCCGCCCAAGTGACAAAACTTATCCACTTTCTCGATTACTTTCTCAGTTAGAGTGAGGTTGGGTGCTGGACCAACCCAGTCTTGTAGTAACATT